CTCATAAAGGAGCATTATATTATTTTTTTCTGGAAGAACTGCTTAACACTTACTGGTAAATGTTTATCTCTGGATTTAGACATAGTAATAACTTCAGAGTGACTAAAGAAGAATTTAGATTTATATCATAATTGAAAAATATCAGTGATGTCTTAGAGTCCTTCTGACATTTCAGTAATGTGATGCATTCATTAGGGTTCATATAGAGTAAATACAAAAAGTTAGTATATACCTATTACTACATCAGTAATGAAAAGTATTCTGTGCCTCAAACTGTGAGGAAAGCTAGTTCGATATCCCAGAAAGGGTGTTGAAGCCGTTTTCTTTTTGCAGAGATCTTATTCATAATAAAAATAGATATGGTTGTCTCGGACATAATTTGTTATTAGTTCTTAGTTATATTCCCTATGTGCCCAATATGAACATAGGATTTGGTATCTTCAATTGCTCCAAACAACTTATTGAATTTTTACAGGTAGATTAGTACTTGAAATACTAAGACTATGTAACATAAATAAAAGCACAATTTATGTATTTCCTACTAGTTTGTGTTCTTATCCTTTGTTAAACTGTAAAATCCATATTCTATCCGTAGTTCTCTTTTTATATTAGTATAAACAGTTTAGCTCTACTAGTATCGTAGTTTTTACAGGTCTTTCTGTGATTGCAATTATGCTAAACTGATCTACATTTTGATGAACAGGTTACAACTTCCTGCAACCTTAGAAACATTTATTTTAAAGGTTGTTGTTGTTGTTGGGTTTTTTTTGCTTGTTTTTTTTTTTCTTTTTTTAATACTTGGAGCAAATAAAGCTAATATTCTAATTTCTGGATAGCAATCTGAATCCAATTGCCTTCCTTCACCTGTTACTTGTGAATTTGTGTATATTCATGGTATCCTTTAAGGGAGCTTCTTATATTAATGATGAGACTTCTGTGTTACCTAATATTCTTCACATTTAACATAAATATGGCTGCTGTAAAGATCTTCCATTCACTTTTAGCTGCTTCCACTTAGGTTGCAGATTGCTGCCTGCCCCAAGCTTTCTGCTGCTATCTCTTCTGCTTTAGCAGTACAGCTGTTTGTCCTCATAGTGATCCAGATCACTGAACTTTATTTGCCAGCTTTGTTTTTCAGCTGTATAAGTTCCTTAATCGTGTTGGTTGCGCAAACAAGTTGCCTTAGAACAAAAGGGCATAAGTGATAGGCGGGATGTGTGACCATATCGTCAGGCTCCTCTCATTGGAAACAGAGCTGCCACTGTGAGAAGTCCAACATCCTACTTCCCCTCTTTCCTTCTGTTCCCCTCTGAACATATGTGCAGTTTTCCTGAAGACAGTACTCCTGTGGCAAAATGGATCTGAAGATGTTGTAAGGGAGGGAGGGGAATGGATTCCCTGGTAGCAGCAGTGCTGCTGTGCCTTGCCTTGCCTTCCTTTAGTCCTCATTGATGCTTTCTCCTTTCTGGGACAAGTTCAGCCTGGTGCCAGAGTGATAAGCTGGCTGAGTTTATTAGTTGGTGTTTAGGACAGCGTCTTAGTTTTACTGGTGAGATTTGCCTAGTTAATTGGAATGTGTTTTAAGTTTTAAAAACAAATATAAGAACAAAGTTACCTCTTGGAAAGTAGAGATTGGTGATTTTACAAATTTTACAAAAAATAGAATAATAACTGTGAAGTGTGAAGAACTGGGGAGGTGGTTTATCAGATGATCCCCAAATTTGAATTCCACTGTATTGGGAATAATGAAAGATTTGATAGAATGGAAGAGGAAGGCAGTATTAAATGTTTTCACTAAGGTAGGGAGTAAAAGAATAAATGAGCTGAAGAAATCCAGAAAATAAATGGTTTTGAATATAACCCAGAAGTATATAAGAGAGGAGCTGTCATTAGGTTTGGCAGAGAGGGTAATAATGGCTACTGAGGTAGTTTTGGTTCTAGTGTTTTTATATATGACACTATTGGGACTAACAGAGCTATTGGGGGTGGAGGGAAGTCTGAGGAATTAGACATAACCATTCTGTTCATGAAGCATGAAACTATCAGTTGTTAAAGGATGTACATTTTATACTTTGTTCTGTAATTGCTTTAACATGTTATGTTTGATGGTTCTATTTTCTTTCAATTATACTTTAGGGAGAAAGGAACAATGGCTTTGACATCCTGTATCACAACATGAAACATGGACACTTGTCAACAAAAGATTTAGCGGAATTTATCAGAGAAAGGTAAATATTTATCTTTGTTAATCCTGACTCTAACGTGCTGTTTGTGATTTCTATTTAAAAGTTTATAGTTATGTGTTGCAGTAACGTGCAGAATATATATAAAGCAGTATGAAGTAACTAATACTAGAATATCTAGGCTTGTTCCATTCACTTATAACTAAATTGTGACCATTAACCATCACTTAATAACCAACTTCTAATTTGAAGGTTGATTTAAATTATAAATGTAGAAAACTAGAAATGTCATATTAAGTGTTGAGCTGTTATGCTTAAGTTGATACCAGTTTTTCTTCATGTTTGGAAGAAAAGGAATTATTTCTTCAGTAGTAAAAATTATATCAGTCTTTCAAGGTTTTTGACCAGAGATACAGAATTAAGGTGTTAACAACTGTCAGCAAAACTTTAAAACGTGATACCTTTGGATTAAGAGGGGAGAAAGTTATTTGTACATAGTGAGGGAACTTTATAAAAAGTGTTCGTGAGATTTAAAATGTAATTAAGTTACTGTATTATACAACTGTGGTTAACATTTAAAACTAACATGCCTAATCCCCTTCTCCAAAAACCGACTGTCCTGTTGTGTTAGAAGTTCAGTAGATTTAGATATGTACTCCTCTGTTAAAGTTTCAGGTGACACTGCGACTTAGTTTCCTGTTTTCAAAAGGAAATTCTTTGTGCTTGAGAAGTGTACTAATTATTGCTAAGAACTGTTAAAAATAGAGGTAAAACATCAGGGAAAAGAGGAATAATTTTATGCGAATTTTGAGCTCTTGGATTTTATATATTTATATACATATTTTAAAATCATATTTATGTGCTTTTGCATATACCTTTTGAGAAGTCATTAATATGTAGCTGTTTTCAGCTAAAGTCCTATGCTTTGATCTTTTCAAATACATATCCATCTGTCTTCAAAATTGAAGCATTGATTATGCTTTTGATTGCTTTCATTGACAGAGCTACAATAGAGGAGGCGTACTCAAGGTCAATGACAAAACTAGCCAAATCAGCAAGCAATTACACACAACTTGGGTAAGTAAGTGTGTATAAAATCAGAATAATTCATTATATGACTGTTAGGAATCCAGTTTGATTCTGACTTTTTTTTATTGTCGATGTTGAAGGATAAATGGGTACCATAACCTTGCCACTTTAAAAGCAAGGTACCGTGCAACTATGACCAAAAAAAAACCACTAAATAAAGAAACAAAAAAAAAAAAAGAAAAAAGAAAAAAGCTAAAAGAAAGGACAGTACAGCTCTTTCCTTCTGGTTAGAAAAAGACATGTAGGAACTGTGAAAGAACAGAATGATACAGAACATGACTTTCTCTTCTGTGTGCCCAAGCATGTGAGGAGAGAACATATGGTCAGCAAATGTGACAGTAAATTTATTTCCATTATTGCTGTATTAATGCTGTAATAAGAGATTTAAGAATGAGACTTTTCAATGATATTGAAAGACCTATTCCATAGTTAAAATTTTAAATTAATTAAAATTTTATACACAGGGTATGAATTTAAAAATTAGAACGATTGATGGATTTTATTTTTCATTAGAAAGATCATGCTGACAATTCAGGCTTCTTAGATGATGCTAAAGATTTTTTTATTATTATTATTTATGATAATTCCTGCTCCTTCATCAACGAATAGTTTTATACCAGTTATTTCTGCTCTTCAAAAGTTCATTACCTGCATGTAAGCAGGTAATGCTGTAATATAATAGCTATCAGTGCTATAAAGGCTCTTCATGGTACTTATTTTTCAACAGCATTGATGAAGAAGCTGTGGTAGGAGCATATCTGTAGAATAGCTGATGTGGTTCATTCAGTATAGAAATTGGTATTTGAGACATGTCCTGACCTTACTGTCCTTTACCATACGGTTAATTTCCGTTAATCAGTAAATCCCTTTTAGACACAATCCACTTTGCCAATATTTTTTTTCTGCTTTTTGCTGCTATGATGATTTAAAACAACTGGAAATCAGCTAGCCTTTTTGTGTGTGCATGTATGCGTTATTCAAGTATATGCATGGAAATACTTTTCCAGATTCAAAGTTTTATATATATAATTTTAGCTGATCTTGCATCATCTTGCCATTCATGTGTACTGAAGATAGGGAAGATTGAGTGAACTTCCATGTATCACTCAACATGACTAATGAGTGAGAAACAGCACAAACTGAAAACTTAGCTATTATTCCAAATACAGTTGGAACATATTTAATAATGTAACTTATAGTAGTTTGGGGCTATTTCTTTTGTTTCAGTTTTAGGAATAAGACTGAACTTCTGTAAACATATTGCTGATACTATAGCACTATAAAAAACTGAAGCTAATCAAAGGGTGAAAATCCAGATGAGCATTAAATGTGTATTTTTTTTTTCCTCTAGGACATTTGCACCTGTTTGGGATGTTTTCAAAACCTCAACAGAAAAACTAGCAAGCTGTCACTTGGATCTTGTACGAAGATTACAAGAGATAATAAAAGAAGTTCACAAGTATGGAGATGAACAAATTAAAGCTTATAAGAAGGTTATTAATTCTTCATATGCATGTAGAATCACTTGTTAACATTAAAATTAAAAACATTTGTTTTTGACATCTGTGTGATATTTTACAGACTAAAGAAGTTGTTTCAGGAACATTGGAAGCAGTGCAAAATATTCAAAGTATCACTCAGGCCTTACAAAAGTCAAAGGAAAACTACAACACAAAGTGTGTCGAGCAAGAACGATTGAAAAAAGAAGGCGCAACCCAGAGAGAGGTTGATAAGGTATCAATGCAATAATTGTACATCATGCAATAATTGTGTTTTATGACTTCTACAGATATTATCTGTAATTGTTTCAGAATTTATTATGTTTTTGGATAATTCTGCTGTAGGTAAATATGCAAAAACTCAATGCCCTTGTTTTTGAATTAAGGAATAAAAAGTTTTGTTCTTTCCCTTTAGCTGGGGCAGTATAGCTAATTGTAGGAGTATTTGAAGTCTGTTCCATTGACGAGAAAAAAAGTTAATGTTACTTTCTGTTCTAATTTAAGGTGTTCCTATTGTATGCACCAAAATCCCAAAAGATGAGTATCCTGATTTTGTATTTAGGATTGTCCTTGGTTCACTGGGCAATTTGGATCCATTCAAGGAACATAGGTAGTAGGGGGAAGTGTTTCCCTGTCGTTGGCTCTACCTTATCTTTTTAAAACTTGATACCTCTGCCTATTTCATTTCTATTTAGCTGATCTGTCTGGGACTCTGCCCTTGTTAGAATGGTTTAGTGCCTTTTTTTACTGCCATGTTTGATAAGTGGATAGGACAGTTGATTATCAGCTTTTCACTCATATTAAAAGTGATCCTTTTGAGCTTGTTCTAATCGTTTTCTTTAACATAAACCTACCTTTTTTCATACTTTCTGTCTCAACTGACAGTCAGTGTTGGGTTTTAGGAATGAATCAGAAATGTGTAGGATGACAAGGTATTTTCTGGTAAACTATTCAAAATATATTTTTTTCACAATTCTTGTTATAAGATTAAAACTTTTCAGTAAAAAAGGTTCAATTTACAGAAAACTTTAAGACAGAATGTTATAATCCCTTGTCCAACTGAAAACTGAAAACAAAAATTGTTCAAAAATTGCTGTCTACCTCCTGAAGGTAAAAAGAGGAAACATTATAGGGTGACATACTGTGTTGAAAATGTTGCAGTTTG